AGGACTTTCTAAGGGAAACTGGCTCGTATACACATGGGCAAAACCACGAAAACACCCATGCAGCCAGCCCGTTCGCGGGATTCGAACCTCAGACCGAATTACCAGTGTTTAGCGACTTTACCGCTCGGCCGCTGGTGGGCCTCCTTGAACTTATGGAGAAGTCGAGAAATTTTGTAATTGATAGTAAGTTTGAATAATTATTGGGCACGTGTGAGCTAAACGTTACTGTTAAATGTTGTGTCCTGCGGATTAAATGTGTTGACAGTTAAGTGTCCCGTAGCTAAATGTCTTGACGGCTAACTCTCTGTTTCAGCAAAATGTCCTGTCGGCTAAATGTCCTGTCAGCTAAGTATCCTTGTCGGCTAAGTGTCTTGTCGGCTAACTGTTCGTGTCGGCTAAATGACCTGTCAGTTAAGTGTCCGTGTCGGCTAAATGGCCTTTCGGCTAAGTGTCCGTGTCGGTTAAATGTCCTGTCGGCTATATGTCCTGTCGGTTAAGTGTCCCTGTGGGCTAAATGTCCTGTCGGCTAAATGTCTTGTCGGCTAACTGGTGTCGGTTAAGGGTCCTGTCGGCTAAGTGGTTGTCGGCTAAGTGTCCGCGACCGTAGAACGACATAGAAAGGACTGAAACGAATATAAAAGAGGGAGACACCACAGTCTTGTACAATGAGAGAGTATAATCTTCTACGTAGATTCTCATGGACTATACAAGATACGTTTTTTCATCGTCAAGGTTCACCTGATCAGATTTCTCAGTAATATTTCCAACAGAGTTTCAGCCCGCGTTTCAGTCCGAAGTGAACTGAGATATGGGAACCAATTTCCCTTAGATTTGTCTTTCATTTCTCATGAAAGCCCGAAATATAACATTTCTCAATGTATGCTACCCAGGTTCCCTTTGGAAGAATAAATGGAATTTCTTTGAGGACTACCCTGAAAGAAAAAGACACAGAAAGAGACATACCGAGCTGTGTCTTTACAAAATGTTAGAAAGGTTAAAAAATGATACTTACTATAACCATATTTAATGTTATTACATTGATTATTATAACCATGAATCACAGATTTTCGTTTTCTGACTGAAATTTTTTTCTTCTTCTCCCGAACAATTTTTCGCGTAGGCGAACTCTAATTTCCTTCAGACTTTAGGAGAAAAACAAAAACCAGGCCATGTTTTTCCAACCCGAATGATCTTTAGGATTTTTGCCGAAAGAGGTAATTATGTTTATGATTCTTTATTCATCAACACACACACGTACACAGAGAAGTAATCCATATTCGACCAACCGTTTACAAAAGTACTTCAATGGAGTTTATTTGAAGAGCAGTTAATCCTGCGTGATGTATCAGAATGGAAAGCTTTAAAGCATGCATAGACCTACGCAGACCACTTTCTAAGGCACTCAACTCATAGCCTACACAAACAATCCTTGAACACAGAACTCGGCTGCTTGTGGACCTACTCTACAGAGAGAGAGATGATACCCGTTTGGTTTACAGAAATGCCCTAATGGAATTTCTTTGAAGAATAACCAATCCACCCTGAAACTGAATGGACCTGCTGAAATTGTAGAAGAGCTCAATGGGTAAGACACAGAAATAAATGTACCTAGGTGTGCTCAATGGGTAAGCCTTAGAAAGAGACATACGGAGGTGTGTCTTTCGGAGTAATGTAATATATCAGGGGTGACTAAACTTCATGTCAGTAGCAAATGCATATTGGAATTCAGGAAAGCTACAACTAGATTTTCCAAAAGCAACATCATATTTACATAATTTTAAAAGTAATGAAACAGATTTCAATCGGGAAAAAATATCTGATTCTATATAATTATTTAATGATAACTTGCCTTCAACGTGTGATGATTTCTCGTCTTTTTTTTTTTTTTTTTTTTTTTTGTCTGATTACATCATGGTTCGGTAAAAAGTACTCTTTGTCAGTTTTTAAATATTCCGACACAACCGCAATAACTTTTCGTAAAAGTTGATTTATCATAGTATTGTAATGATCATGAGATTTCTATTACTTTTAAAATCTGCACTACGGGACTCAAATCATCCTTTTGTTTATATAAAATTATCCCGAAATTCGCCTGCCGGAATTCTCGAAATTTTCCTAAGGTAACTTCGTTTCTAAGTTGTCACCATCGTCATATTTATTAGAAATTTTCAGAGCTTTCCATTGTCATAAATTTCGCATCGGCTCTGACGTCCAATCGACATCTAAATTGTTTAAAACTTGCATCAAATTAAGTATAATATTAAACGTTTCTGATACATTATATGCGTTTTCCGTTCCTCTCACAGACCATCCTAATTTCCTGCTGCTAATTATTGAGAAATTCGGCAGACTTTTTTCGTAAAGCATCCACAAGCATCCCTTTATCAGTTCATAAAAAAGGCATTCACAAGGAATTTTAGCTTCTAAAGGTTTTCTTTGAAAACTTTTTTTGAAGTAACCAGCACACTATTTTAATTTATTTTTTAATGTTTTATTTTTAATGTCTTAACTTTCTTAAGTAACAAGAAATAAAATTATTATATTTGGACATTCATAAGCTTAAGTTTACAAATAACTTTCTAAAAGGAAATGAATAGCATTAACGACTTTCTTTTGAACATAAAAAAAAAGTATCACAATAAACCTGACGGTTATCGGCCGATCAGTTTTTAGAGACATTAAGATTTTTTGGAAGCCGAAGAGATGAAAAATGAGCAATTGCCTTCCCCGGGAAGCGAACCACGGACCTCTGGAATAACGGCCCAGCGTGCAGGACCACAACACCACGATGGCAAGCTAGGAAAGTGGGAGAAATACCTTATAAGTTTGCTACCAGCGCTAGGAAAAATCTATGAAAGGATTATTTTATTACGCATGCAACCTTATCTTAATTTACTACCACCTGAACAATTTGGTTTTTAAGCCAAGCTTTCGACGACCAAGCAACTAGTGCGAGATTACGGAGTTTGCAGGCTCAGCGCTCCATAATAAACAGTGTGTTGCTCTCCTCATTCTGGACGTGGAGAAAGCTTTTGACCACGTCTGGCATGAGGGACTTATCTCAAAATTTCCTGTCACTTTCATAGAGAGCTATTAATTACGATACATTCATTCATCACGAACAGGGATTTTTTTGTTTGTGTAAATGGTGCTGGCTCCTACAAAAGATTTTCAGAAATACCCCACAACAACTCTAATTTGGCTTGCAATGCAGATGACACCGTGTTAGCTATAAAATCTGCAAATGTAAATCACGCAGTCAAAAAACTTCAAGATCTTATTCCTTCTATTGAACAGTGGTGTGCACAATAGAAAATCCAAATGTCTCAAAGTCTCAAAGTCACAGCTCTTGATCATTCGGAAACGCAAAAGGAACGCTCCGATCAAAAAACAAATTTCTTTATTCAACGAAATTGTTCCAATAGTTTTCAAAGACAAATAAATACCTTGGTGTTTCATTTACTTGGACACATCATGTTAATAATGAGGGTGACAGGACGCTTAGAATCCTCAAATGCTTACACCCAATTATTGGGAAATACTCTTCACTGGACCCGAACAAGAAGAGACTTATTTACCTTTCCGTTATCAGACCAGTCATGACTCACGCTTTGCCGGCATGGACAACTATCTCCGATAAGGAACTTAAGAAGCTTAAAGTGAGGCAAAACAGATATCTTCGCATTATTACAAATGCCATTTCTATGTGCGTAACAAATGTCTTCACGACGACCATAAGATCGAACAGTCGGCGAAGTTTCTCAGAAAACTGAATGAACGCTGCTATCAGGAAGCACAAGAATGTAATATAATGAAGCACTTTGAACTTTTCAGCTAGGAGATTCTTCATGAGGACCGCCATCTTCGTCCTTTGGCAGCTTTCATGCTTACCGATAACCAAAATCTTCCTACATAAAACTCTATTGCGCTTTCGCATCTGTGCTCTGTCCAAAATCTCTGCTGAATATGTGTTTATAGCATGATTTTGACTTCATCCTCATCACTCATTTAATGAAAAGCAAATGGTTGTAAATATTGTGTATATAGTCTTTCAGTCTGTGAGAAAAATTTTTATTTTATGTATTTTATCTTGTCTCCAGGACTCACTTCGGCATTTTTTTCCTTGCATGGCTGCATGAAACAACCAAATGAAGATAGCTGGTATACAACTTGCAGTTTTGCAAGCTAGACGCTTCGGCAACGGCAAACGGAACGGAACGAATACTAAAGAAATTTTAGTTTACCATATTCCATACATATATTTTATTTGCATAAAAGCCATACCATAAGAGCCTATTGTATGCAAAAAATTTCAGTCTAAGTTTAACTATTATGCTTTTAATATTATGCGTTGTCATCTACATTATTTTCGATTTAGTATTAACTGATTGCTTTCATATTATTTAATTATAAGTTTATCTTTGATGTGATTATAATTATGAACAGTCATCAGTATTTTTTATGGGAAATGATTATTAATTTACTATCGTATTCCCGTCATTTTCGATTTGGCGCCATGTCACGGTTATTAACAGCGCCATGCTACTTTAATTACTTTTTCAACAAAAACATTTTGTGACAATTTCTTATTCTTCATATTTCATCATCATTTTAAATTTCTGTTGTTATATTCGTTTATTTTTCTATTTTATTGTAAAAATTAAAAAGTGGAAACTTGTTTGGTAACTTTGAAGTTTAATAAGGGAAGTATATGATTTTGGGAAGGGAGGGGGCTTTTATTCAGAATGGCAATGGTCGGCGCGTGATTTTGAAGTTAAACGGGATGCCTTCTAAGAGAATGGGTAATGTCGCAATAAATACTACTTCCTCCTCTCAAATTTGTTCCTAATACTTAAGGATCATTCATAGTAACCATACAATACGGAAATCAAATAAATTTCATGCACGGATGTCAAAAATGTGCGCGACGAAAAATGCGATGTATTTTCCAGTGCTGTACAGGCGCAGTGTGTGCTAATTCATGTAATCGTAGCCGCGGGGCAAAATATCGGTCCCCATATAAACAAATACACTTGCTTTAAATATCTTAGGCGTAATGCATCTGAGGAGTTATTATTATATAAGCGTGTCTTGAATTACATTACTAGAACCTATTCCTCGTTCAAATTTCCCAGTCTTGCACTGTGCAAATGGCGCGTCTTTTAAGAATTAATGGGAAATAAGGTATTCGTGGCAGAGGAATCGAAACTTTTTTTTGTTTATAATCATTACCTAGTATTTATATTCGAATATTTATAACTTTGAAGATGGTGGGTTGTTTTCATATTACTAATTTGTCTTGCGATTTGTTGTGAAATTTTTTGATTGCTGTTTGTTTACATTTTAAGAAATATGACATAGTCGCATTTGCGATGTATCGCGACAAGAAATTAATTTTTATCCAAATTAAAGCCCATATTTTATTATTTCTGTGATTTCATTGTACTGCCATGCATTATTTAAAATCACTGCTTTTGTATTGGCAGAACTGTAATTAAGAAAGTATATTAATGTTGTTTATCCTTTTGATTTCATACTTTCAAATTGATAACATTATTTTTCTTGAGAACTACTTTATAATATTAATCTGTTTCATTTTTATTTTATCAGGCCTTTTTCTTCGTGTGCATTATCTTTGATATAAAGGATTATGTATTCTATAGTCATTATACATCAGTGCATTAATTTTTGTATCTTCTCCAATATAATTAAGTAAAATTTCATGCTTATTGATACTGCACGAGTTTTAATGTTTTTATAAGTGTTTTACTTGTATGCAAGGTAAGTTGATGTTTGCAATGCATATTTAATTTTAAAAAAATAATTATAAGTGACATCTGTGGATTCTTATGAATTTTGTATTTGGAAGTTTTACAGATCGTTTTTAGCAATTACTTTGTTTTTAAATTATTAAAACTGAAATTTAAGTATGAATTTGAGATGGATATTGAAGTATCATTCTAAAGTTACATGTTAGAAGTAATTACATATTCTTACAGCAGTGGAGAAATGCATTAAAATCTGAATTGTGTTGTAAATTTGAATGCATGGTTATTTTCCTCCCTTAATGTGTATTTTGTTTCACCAAAGAGTGAATGCTTATTCCATTTCAAAAACAAAGGCTTTAATTTTGTATTAAACTGTTTCTTTCCTGTGTTTACATATTAGCAATCATTATTGCTTGCACACTTATCTTCCATGATATAGGCAATTCATTTTCTTATGTGCATATGTAGATTCTTTGGAATAGGTTGCCATGGTGAAGAGTTTATAAACTGTTTAGGTTAAAATTTTTCTGTTGTTTTTGTTGTACTAAATTAGGTATGGTACTTTGCTGTTATTGGGGCTGAATTCAGGAGTGCAAAATACATACATACGTACATCCGATTGCAATAACAGAAAAGTACCTGAGATCTTATATTTATCTGAACAGAAGATAATAAAATCTCAGTAAGATTTGTTGTTTTAAGGCAGAGTTGGTAATTATAAAAAAACAGGTTATTTCTAATGCAATTAATGATTAAGACTGTAGAGTGTTGTATGATAAGTACAAAATAAAGAGAAGCCATCATAAATTATCACTGGATGTTATTACGTGAATATAAAATATATTTTGATTGTCCTTTTTTTAATATGTACATTTGTACAATATGCCATCATATCAGTGGCCAGTAAGGAAACATGAATGTAATTATATTTTAGTCTATAATTGGATAATTGCTTTTCAAGTATTGTTATTTTTTATTCTAAATTAATATTGCCAAATAAGTTGCATTATCCTGGTAAAGCACATCTACTTGTTATGCGGATGCAATTTAATTTTCTTTGTTATATTAATAGCTTTCAAATTTATACCATGATATAAAAATTAGTATAGGAGTTTTAATGATGTGGTACATTACGAGAGAATTTCACTCATGTATTTAAAAATAGGGATTTTGATGTAGGAAATAACACGTTAGTTGTTATGTATTTAAAATTATCTGTTAGTTAAATGATAAATACAGTAACAAGTAAGTACAGAATTAAGTCGGGTATCATTTATAAGTCAGGTAAATCTTACAGGCTGTTAGTGATTTAATGTAAGAACTAAGACATTTATCATGTTTATGTATTTGACTCTTAGCTGGTAGAGCTCTCAATAGTGGCAGAGCTAAGGAGGCAAGAGGGTTATCTGTCCCTAGGCGCACCATCCGAGGGATACCAAATTTATGTTATGAAATTTTAGGATGAAATGTTCTTGGCAAACAGGAAGGGGGCATGAAATCATCAGCTGCCTTAGCATTTTCAAAGCACTGGAAATAGTACCTATGGCTCAGGCTATCAATAATTGGTAATCGTGGTAAGCTTTGAGCGAGATATATAAACAGATCGTATAAAATACCCTAAAATTTATTATTTTTTAAATGTGTTAATGTACAAAGATATTTTCTATCACATTGACTGAAGATATCAAAGAAACTGTTATTAACAACGTAATCTGTCTGTCTTATTTAGAAATTAAATTTTTAATTTCTTATTTTTGAAGGATTTATAGTATTTTAGATATCTATTATAATAAGCATAGATATGTATAGGATTTCTGTCAAATCAGTTTTGGTAACTTCCTAGCTGACAAATTTTTTCATACTTTTAACCACTTTAGAAAGCCATCTCAGAAAAACATATATATATATATAATAAAATTAAACGGAAAAGCTGGAACTTAAATGATAGATTATAAATTTTGCCCTGAAGGCTTTCAATATTATTTAGTAAATGAAGTAATTATATATATATAATTTATCATTAGAAAACTTTTGAGTACCACCTCCAAGGAACAGAAATTCAGTTGAAACCATAAATTATTATAATAAATATGTTTTTATACAGTATTTTAATTAGTATTTTAAATTATAAATATATATATATATATAAAGACATAAAGTAAGAAATTTAAAACTAATGTTTTAAAAAAAATTATTTTGTAATTTTATATACACTCACTTCCAAAAGTTAAGCACGGAGAGGAAAATAATAATTTCCGGAAGCCAATCAGAATTGAAGAGGATGCAATTTGCTGCAGAGGTGGATGGAAGTATGCAAATATGTTAGGTAACTAACAGCCAATCGCGCTTTCATGTCAAGAAATGTGCAAAATCACCAGTTTATAAGAAGCCAGCTTTATGAAGGGTTACAGAAGTTGATTGTAAGTGCTAATGGAAGGTGTTTAAAACTTTCATACAATTTGTTTTCAAGATATACGTGTTTCTATGACTTCCAGAAGACGAATGGAAGATTCTGAGCGCTGCCGTGCTGTGGGGCACATTGAAGCAGGGCAGTCGATCACAGATGTTGCTCTTTTCTTCCGTGTTCATCATTCTGTAATGTCACATTTATGGAAACAATTCCAAACCACACAGACAGTTGTTCAAAGAACCGTAGCCAGTCGCCCAAGGGTTACAACCCCCGCGAAAGATCGATATATTACTATTGTAGCCAAGCGGAATCACAGAGCGACCTCCACACGTGTGACATCTATGGTTACAGCGTCCATTCGTAAGGCGATATCTGCAGCTACTATATGCCGAAGAGTACATATGAGTGGACTGTATACCCGGGTACCTCGAGTTTTTGTTCCTCTATTCGTCCAATCAAAAAAAAGGAAAAAAATACGACGGGTGGTGCTGGGAAAATGTCAATTGGAATGTGTTTGACTGGGGCAATGTCATGTTTATTGATGAGTCAAGATTTGCTCTGGAGCCAGACGACAAGCGTATAAGAATATGGCGTGAACAACGAACACGCAATCAGTCCCGAAACATCACTGAACATCACGCATTCCGAGGTAGAAGCATTATGGCTTGGGCAGGGATTTCATTAGGATACCGTACCGACCTGCACACCTTTAAATGGGGTTGTTTGACGGCTGTCCGGTATTGAGATGAAGTCTTAGAACCCATTGTGAGATTGTACGCTGCAGCGGTTGGCCTTACTTTAGTTTTAATGGACAATAACGCATGTCCCCATAGAGCTGACATCATCGATGACTACCTGGAGAGTGAAGGGATTGTGCGTATGGTGTGGCCAGCATATTCGCCCGACCTTAATCCCATTGAAAATCTTTGGGATGCTCTTGGCCGTGCTGTATCTTCACGTTTCCCACCTCCAGCCGCTCTTATTGAGCTGGAAACTGCTCTACAAGAATGGTGATTGCTTAATTCTGCAATTGTTGACCACCTAATTGAAAGCATGGTCACAAGATGTAAACTTTGTATACAGATGAGGGAGATCATATACCCTATTAATGTTCTTTTTTTTTTTCATTTTATGCTGTTTATTTTCACTTTATACATAATTCTGTTTAAGTCTCCAGTATGTCATTATCTGATAACTTACAAAAATTTAATATTTTTCATTTCTGTATTTAATTGTTGATTTTGTTTTATGCATTAATATATATGCTACTTGCCTGCCGAATTTTGTGTCAATCAAAGCAGTACAGTCAAAAGTCTTTAATCCGGACTCGTCGGGACTTCGGCGATTCCTGATTATCAATTTTTCCGGATTATAGATCATCAGTTTAAATCTGGTAAGATTGCATGCAGAAATTATAAAATTAAAAATATGAAACCATAATTTATGAAATTAAAGAGCAATTATGATCTAAAGGGTATCAAAATTTACAAAAATAAGCTTAATATTTATTTGTTTACTTTATTAAACGTTTCTTTCAACGCGCGCATGCGTAAAGCATACATTACGCATAGTTGAAATTAGAAAATTGCAACCAGAAAACTGTTTGATGGGTACTCGTGATATTTATAATGACGAGGAATTTGATTTAAATCATATCAAAGATGGAATACATCGAGATGAAATACTACATTTAGTAAGGAATTATAAGCTGAATAAAATAAAAACATCTGCCCTGAAGATAAGGATAGTACCGACAGATCAACTTCCATTTCATTGCACACCACGACATTCCCTCCCCAGCAGAGCAGCGTGAAATTGATAAACAGATTTCGGAATGGTTAGAGAAACAAAGGATATGCCCTTATCCATTTTTTTTTTTTTTTTTTTTTTTTTTTTTGCGGCCATTCCACTTTTTGTTTGATGGACATCAAAACATACTTTTGCTTTGTAGATCCTTTACATATTAGTAAATATGTATCGGAAATTCTATTTGACATAATCGAAAGTTCAAGCTTACTTTTATAAAATTGCTGTAACAGTCTGCAAAAAATAATTAGCCGGATCCAATTCGAAGATTAAGGAACAACGCAAT